CCCTGCCACCTGCAGACACAACGAGAGCTGAAGGGTACCACCAATGGGGCGGGGTCCTGGCCAGCCGCCCTCCCGATCCCAGAGGCAGCCTGAGCGAGGGGACTGGGCCGCAGCCCTCAGCCGAGTGGCGCCTGCAGGCTGGCACTCATCTGCAGGGGTGACAGACCAGAGCTTGGGGCTCCTGTGCCTTCTCCCCGGGTTTGGGGGTGTCCCACAGCTCAGGGAGGACCACTCTTCTTCCATTAACTGGTTCTTGGAGTGCTTGTTGGAAGCGGCCTCTTTAGCACTTCATTAAACACTTTAGTTTAATAACAACCTCGGGGGAGCCCCGCCCGAAGTTGTGTGGGCCGGGAGCAAGCAGCTGCATCAATTAACCCGGCTCTCTCCGGGGTGCAGTTAGATTCGAGAGCCCCTCGGAAAGTGCATGTCGCTGCAATTAGACTCCAAATGCTGCAGGTTGATCACCCCGAGATTGGTGCCCCCATTGATCGGACTGGCTGGCGTTTGCTGCCAGCAAGTCTTGCCGTTGTCATTAATAAATTAGGCCCTGCTCGGAACTGTCCTCGTGAGGGGTTATGAACAAGGGTGGGGCTGGGGCTGGGCCGTGCCCCCCTGTACCTGCCCATGGTGGCCCAATATCCAGGTGCTCCAGAGTGTGGCGTGGCCTGGTGTGGCATCCCAGGTGCTCCTGGCCCCTCCAGGCCTCTTCCTGCACCTGCTGTTTCCTACCTTTGAGCATCTGTGTCCTTGCACCCCAAGTGCCTTCTCCACACCCCCTACAACAGACACCCCACCTGGGGAGAAAAGAGGAGGGCTAGAAAGGCCAGGCTGGAGGTGGCTCTACTTCTACTCACTGTGTGACCGACCTTGGGCAAGCCCCCCAAGGCAGACAGATGCCAGGTGTCCCCCAAAAGCCCCACTTCCTGGAGTTCACACCCAGGATGAGACCAGAGACTTGACCCAAGCAAGAGAATGTGGCGCAGTGAGGGGTGTCTCTCCCAGTACTAGGCTGTGTGTGTAGGACTCTGTCTGCCAGATGCACTCTGGGCTGTCTCCCTTGCTGGCTGTGAAGAAGTAGCCTCTGTGTCATGAGAGGCCACTCGACAGGGACCTGGGTCGGCCTTCAGCAAAGAAACCAGGTCCCCCACCCTGCGCCTGCCAGGAAACTCAGGCTGCCACACCCGGAGCGAGCCTGGAAGCAGATTCTGCCCCAGTCGAGCCTGCGGATGAGAGCGCAGCCCAGCACTGCACCTGCAGCATGTGGTCCTGAGCAGGTGGCCTGGCGAGGCCACACAGGAGTCCTGGCCCACAGGGACTGAGAGTTAATGGCTATGTGTGGCTTTGGGTGGCCAAGCTGTGCAGCACACTCCTCGTCCCTCTGAGCCAGTCACTTCTTTTCTCTCATCTGTCAAACAGGCTGGCTGCAGGGAACACATGGTGCCCGTGCCTGTTGGTCCTCTCCTCTCAGACCCCGCTCAAGTGGCTTCCTGGGGGAGATCTTCCCAGATTGCCCCGTCCTGGTGAGGGAGAGTGCCCAGGGTTCCTTGAGGGCGGGGCAGGCCTGACCCACTGCATCTCTGGGCCAGTGCAGGACTTGGCACCCACTGGGGCTGCAGCCCTTAGGTCTGCACAGCACTGGAGCCCCAAATCTCAGCCAGCAAATGGCAGATTGGAGGGGAGAACGTTCTCCACATGGAGCCCCGGTTGCACCCACAGGTGCCAGCCTGTATCCCCGCCCCAGCCCTTGGAGCACCCCTTTAGTCAGCCCCCTCCTCTGGCTGCAAGTCCACACCTGGAGCAGGTTTTGTGCCCAGGTGTTCCCAGGAGCCCAAGAGGAGGTGGAGATGGGCCATGTCCATCCTGGCTGCCGCTCTCTGCCCCCTGTGTTGTCTGGTACCCCTCCCTGCCCCCTGTGTCGGGACCCTCCCCTGCCCCTGCCCTCTCTGCCCCCCTGTGACCAGTTTCCTGCTGGACGGCTTTGCTGGTGCGTAGGTGCCAGCCCTCGGGTAAGGCCGTGGTGCTCGGGCTGGGGCACAGGAGGGGATTATCGTGGAGAAGAACCGGCCCAGTCGTGGGGCATCTGCTCCCAGTGCACAGGAGGGCGACCTCCTCAGAGCCCACTCAGGCCTGCTCTGCCCCTCCAGCCTGGCTTGTGGCGGGGCAGCCTGGCTCTGTCCTCACGGTCCCCACATGGAGGGCACAATCGTTCTTCCCAGGACACTGGCACCACAGGCTGTGCAGAGGCCTGGTTATGATGGCCGTGGCCGGGGAGGGGCAAAGCGCCCGCCACTCTCTCTGCACCAGGCAGGGAATACAGGCGCCAGCTGTTCCTGCGGACGCCCCACAGGCTCACTCACTGCAGTTCTGAAGATCGGGCAGGTGGAGGCCAAGAAGTTGTCCTCAGGTTGCCACCTGGGAGCAGGACAAGATGCAGCCCCTTGTGGGGGCTGGACGCCAGACCAGCTTTCAGGACCTGCGACTGTGAAGCCCAAGGGGGAGATGGCTCCAGGGACCCTGCTTCTGACCTTCACACCTGTGCCACCCCTGTCACCTGCTGACGCAGGGCAGGCTTCAGGGCCTTCAGGGACTTTCAGCAATAATCAATGTTTACGTTGTTTTTCGGCCGGTACGTTTGGGTGCTGCTTGTTAGGCGGCGCTAGCTAACTAGTACACTGACATTCACTGAGCACCTAGTTCAAGGTCAATTCATCCTCCAGCAATATGGCCAAGTATTAGAATTTTTTTTTAATAGTTGAGGAAAACCCAGGCTTAGAGAAGGTAAGTGGCTCTACTAAAGACACACAGTGGGGCCAGGACTTGAAGTCTGATCTGCTGGACCCCAAAGCCGTGGCCTGTCTTCCCACCCCTCCCCCACTCCATCCATGCTGTGGGCCCCAGGGGCTCAGGGCTTCTAGCTGGGGTCCCATTCCCCCCTAATGGGCTCAAGCGGAGGGAAATTTCAATCCAATAAGACAAAGCTGCAATAACTGTTATAATTAATTTATACAAAAGACATTATAAAATTACACTGTGCATTCCAATCCCATCCACGATGCACACCCGCTTCCCAGTTAAGCTGTGGGGCCTCATGAAGACAGACGGGAAAGAGGTATTTCAATATTTCTTATAATTTTATATTCTCTCTAATATCTCTCATGCTAATTTCATTATGCAACACAGTCGGCACGGTGATGTAATTATTGAAAAGTAATTTTGCAATAAATGGATTTAAATGTGTTAGAGTCCATTGTAAATTCAATCTCGCCATGAGGGTGGTGGGTGCAGACAGCAGGCGTCGAGGGGGCTGGGCCCGGGCTGGAATCTGAGAAGTCCTGTGTGGCCCCAGCCAGGAGTCTCCTTACACCTGCTAACGACATCCATCCGGAGGTGCTGAGACACCACCATCCCTAGCCCCTCCCTTCCCCACCCACGGTTTGGCCCACCTGGGCCTGTGCAGCCCCCACTGTGACACTCAAGACCCTCCCTGTGGGCCCCCCTGTGCCCCTTCCCAAACCCAGGCCATGCGCTCTGCCCCTCGCCTAGGACCCCAGAATAAGACCTAGACCCCGTCTCATCTGCTTGGGGTCACCCTCTCGCTGGTCCACTCACCAGCATGCTCTGGCGTCCCCCCATCCCCTCTGGGGCCTTTTCCCTGGCTGTCCCCTTGGACAGGACCACTCTCCCGATGCCCAACAGGGTGCAGGGCGAGGGCCGCCGAGGGCTGGCGGGATGGCGGTGTGCAGAGCCAGGGGTCTGTGCTCAAGTCAGGCTGCCCTTGCTGGGCCTGCCGCCCTTGCCCAGAAAGTGGGGTATCCGTGTGAAGTGTGAAGGATGGCGTGTATACAGCAGATGTTCGGTAAGGGTCCCACTGACCCCACGATAGCCAGGGAGGACAGCATGTCCTGTCTCCTCAGCCCACGCGCACATAGCCGCATTCCACACCATGTGGGCAGATTCGGCCTGGCGGTCCCGCTCCTGCCTCTGGGCCACCTCCGGAGTGACTCGTAACCACCTGGAGCCTCGGCCAGCAGAGAGGCCACTGCTGGGGGCAGCCAATGGCAGCCTCAGCATCCCACGTCCACCACATGCATTGGTGGGGCGGGCGGGGCAGGCAGTCCCCCACAGGTGAGAACGCACTCACCCACAGGTGAGAACGCACTCATTCATTCACCCACAGTGCGTGTGGCAGGCCTCCTTGCCACCACAAGGCAGAGGCGAGGGGAGGGCCCCAGTGCCCCCTCCCTCCGGAACTCTCCTCGCCAGCCCCCGGGCTGGCACCAGCGCCCTCCCCATCTCGGCCAAACCGAATCTGTAATTTGTTCTTGGGCGATGTGTAAATTGGCATCTCATTGATTATTAATGAAGTGCTAATTGCTCTTTGAAACCAATTTTGATGCAAATGCAGCTGGAGCTGTTTGTGCAATTTCTCCAGTGGGCTCCACAGCTGCTGAGACCCGGGCAGTGGCCAGGGAGCGGCCGCAGGGCCCTTCGCAGTCTGCAAGGCCCCTCCCTGCCCCAAGCCTGAAGGAGGCCGGGCAGGCAGTGTGGGCACCGGCTCACAGAGGGACCTCAGGCAGAACGGGAGGGCCACTCTGGAGCCCCCTTGGTACTTGGAGAGGGAAGGCAAGGCCCCCAGGGCCAACTGAGGCAGCCCTGGGGGCCAACTGAGGCAGCCCTGGACACCAGGCCCAGCAAGGAGGACCTTTCCATTGTCAGAGGACCAGGCCATTCTGGTCCCAATGCCTGGGTGCCCCAGGCCCATCTGGACTGGAAATGTCCTGAGGCCTGTGTGGGGTGCCACCAGCATGTCCCCACTGGACTATAGCCTGGGCATCTGGCCCCTGGAAGGATGGCGGGTCCACACTGGCCCCAGGTGCCACGGCCGGGAGGGCTGGCTGGACCTCTATGTGGTGGGACCCCCAGGGCTCAGCCCAGACTGGAGCTGGCGGTTGCCCGGCTGCACCAGGTGGTTGCCTGGCAACGGGGCTGGGGACTGTCCCCAGAGAGGGGGCTTCTGGGGACCAGCTCCCTGGGTTTGGGGAGAAAAGCGTTATCTGGCCGTGACTTTGGGGGCTGGAAGAGAAGCTCCACAGAGCAGCCAACAGCCTGGTTATTCCTGGGAGGTTGCAGGACTCTCAGGAGGTCCCCTGCTTCCTCAAGTCCAGCGTTGGAGCCACACGTCTGCCTGGAGACTTGGCTCCTAGGCCCCGGAGGGGGCTGTCACGGTGCCCCGGACTGCCAGTGCCCAGGTGGAGGCTGGGGTGAGGACTGATCCTGGAGTTTCCGGCCCAGAGTGGGTAGGGGTCACTGAGACCCCCACTTCCTCCCCGGGCTCCTGGGGCCTGGGCACTGGGGGACTCTGAGCGCACTTGCCACATTCTAGAGGCTGCAGGGCATGCAGGGAAAATCCCTGGGTTCATATCCCCGGGGTGGGAGCCGGAGGTTTATACAGGTCCTGGGGCACAGACCTCTCCCTTGTCAGGGGTGGAGAGCCCACCACCCTGCCCTATAGCCTGGGAAATGGGCCACACAGCTGAATGTCAACCGAGTGTCTGTAGGGATCTGTGAGGTGGGGGCCCTCAAACCCCAACCAGGCAGCCCAGCCATTATGCTGAGTCTGGGGATAGGCTGGGGTGTGGGGAGGGGAGCAGGAGGCCCCTGAGGCCTGACCCGGCTTCTGGTGGAGGGTGCAGGTGGGTGGGTGCAGCCCTGCTGCTGCTCTGGCTTCCTGGCTCAGCTTGTCCCCACTGCCTGTGACGGGTGAGTCCAGGGTCTCCTCCCAGTCCGAGGAAGGTCACTGGCGCATTGCTCATTTCAAATGGGCAAGCTGGGGCAAGAGAGGAACAGGAGGCTGGGCCTGGGGTGGGCTGGGGCCAGGAACTACCTCTTTCCCCTGTGACTCCCTCCCCTCCATGACCCCCACCACCAGCCTCCCATCTGCAGGGCCCCTCCTGGGGTGCCACTGCCAGGTTGCCGGGGCCTCGGGCGCTGCCATAGCCAGACCCGCCATCCAAGGGCGTCCATGTGTGAGCTCACAGACAGGGGATGAGACCCAGGGAGCTGGGGGCCCAGAGGCAGGTCTGGTGGGAGTCACTGCCTTCCTGCAGGATGGGCACATCATATCTCCCTCCAGAGCCTCAGTTTCTCTGCCTGCAAAAGGGAAATGGTGGCTCTCCAGTCGCTGGGCTGCCATGGGAAGCGATGAGATGATGCCTGAGGCGGGGAAGCGGCAGAAGGCGGTCAGTGCACTTAGTGGGCCCCACCCTGAGCTCCTGGGGACTCAGAGAAGAGAGGGGAGAGACACAGACAGAGAGACAGAGACAGAGAGAGATGGGGAGAATGACAGAGACGGGGGAGACAGAGAAACAGAGATAAACAAGAGAGAGGCAGAGAGACAAAGACAGGGAGACAGAGAGAGAGACAGAGAGGGATAGGGAGAGACAGGGAGAGATGAAGAGAGGCAGAGAGATAGAGAGCCAGAGACGGGGAGACAGGGAGTGAGTGGCAGAGCCTGAACAGGAGAGGACAGCGTGGTTGGAGCAGGCCGGCCACTGCCACTGGTGCCACCATCTAGGGTGCACCTGCCTCACACCCGGCCCTGACCTGCTGCCTCCTTGGCCTCTGCAGAAGGCCCGGCCCGCCTGCCCGGGGCTCGGCAGGGTCCCTCAGAGGTGAGGGACAGTGGTAAGCTGGCGAAGCCCGTGCCCCGTCGTCGAGGCAGCACTGCTTTAGTCTGATATTTAAGGTACTCACAGTGCATACAAAGAGCCCGTGACAAACAAAATATTAGAATGCTCGACAAAGACAGGGCCAGGGCTGCACTGGGTGAGCCTCCAGGCCCACTGGAGCAACAAGAGCCCCCAGCCCCACCCCAGCAGGTCCTGGGGGCCTGCAGAAGCCTGGAGAGGGTGGCGGGCAGCAGGTGACACTGGCAGGAAAGGGACAGCAGGAGGGGGCATTTGGGGGGACTGTGCATCTGGGGCAGACGGTCGGGCAGAGGCTGCTCCTGCAGGGACAGGGGGAGGGGACAGCGGCAGAGAAGGACTGGGCAGAACTGAGCACCGTGTGTGCTGGGCTTCCCGAGGAAGGACCCCACTGTCCCCCAGGTCCAGCCCACCAGGGAGGCAGTTGTCTGGGCTTCCAGGGGCTGAGGCTGCCCTGAAGACGCCTTTCTGGAGGTGGCCTTGAGCCAAGCCCTATTGTCACACACGAGAAGAGGCTGGAGGAAAACACACCTGCCTGGGTCACTGTCCGAGAGCTGGAATCCCTCAGGGTTGGGCCCGAGGCATCCGCTCGTGGGCTGTGCTTCCTCGCTGCTGCGTGGGGCTCACCACGCCACTCGCCCGCTCTCTGGTGGGTGGTGTTTGGGTCGCCCCTGTAGGGGGTGCGGCTGAGAACACTCCGGTCGCATCTTCGGTGCACACATACCAAGAACACGTGTGGTGCTGTGATGCGTGTTCCTGTCCCGAGGGCTGTGTTTGGGCTCCTTTGCCCGAGCAGCCATGGTGGGGGTGTCTCCTGTGGCCGGAAGCCTCCTGGAGGGGCTGGTTCTGGTGGCCCGTCCCTACTGTCCGGGGGGTCCAGCCTCGCAGGGGGCATGAGGCCCCAGCCTGGCGGGAAGTGGCCTGGGAGGCTCTGTGTTTCCACGGCACATGGGACCCGCCACGCACCTCCCAGCCCCCATGGCTTCCCCCAAGTCCTTAGGACCTGTCCCTGCAGGTCACTGGGGCAGTGGGGGGGTGGAGCGGTTTGGGGGTTTGCCCCAGGAGGTGAGCTCCTGGGGCCTCGCTCGGTGGCCGTTGGCACAGGACGGATTAGCAGCTGGACGTGAAGGCCAGAGCCGGGAGCCGCCCAGGAACCAGGCCCAGGAGGCAGAAGCAAGCTCTGGTCTGCACCCTGCGTGTCTTTGGGGCCCGTGTTCCTTTTCAGCCCCCGCAGGGCTGTCTGTCCCCTGGGCCCCTCCCCCGCCCCCCACCCCGTGCTCCCGATCTCTCCCTCCCACTCGCTTCCCACATCCCATTATCAACCTCCTCTCTGCGCCTGGTGGTTTCTGCGAGGTGGGAAGGGGCGTCCAGGTTTGGACCCCTGGGGGGCCAGGAGAGGGTGGCGAGTGGGGGGACGAGTGTGTTTTAAATACAAAAGATACCCAAAATGGAATAAATATTTAATTTTATTTTATTAAATACCAACCTGGTGACGGCTGACACTTTATTAAAGTGTCAAAGTGAGTGTTCGTACACTCTAATTACTTAGAGCCTAACAAGGCGGGGAGGCCGGGCGGCGGGCTCTGGGTGCGCGGGAGGTGCGCGTGCCCCCGTCAAGTAACACCTATTAAACCGTTATTTGCACCTAGAGGCATCTCATTAATACCTCGACTAGTGCCGCCGCGCGCCTCCGCGGGCTGACCCCAGGCTGGGAGAGGAGAGGCGGCCCCCGCTTTCACCCCTGGCGCAGCCTCCTCCGACCAGCAAAGCCTATAAAATTAATAACGACTCTCCCACCTAATTGAATTCCTGACAAATGGAGCCTCCTGCTGCCGCAGGCTCGGTGCATCCCGGGATCGGGGGCAGAGCCTCGGACCTTGCGCCCGGGGCTGGGCCCAGACCCCAGGAGCTGCCCCAGGCAGGCAGGGCCCACCCCTCCCCCCATGCACCTCTGGCTCCATCCGTGACCCCTCTCGAGAGTGACCAGCCCCTCCACGCCCCTCAAGCCTCCCTGTTTTGGGGAGAGGTTGGGACTGCCCGGCCCCACCAGGGCTGTGCGAGCTGGAGCTTGTCTCAGCGCTTCTCGGTGCCTCTTCTGCGAGTGGGGACCGTGACTCTGAGAACCACAAGGGAAACGGTGGGTGAGGACCAGCTCCGCATGGCACTCCACCTGCCCCCAGCTCTCCGAATCCTGGGCTTCGGAGAGGAAGCTCCGCCTCCACCCAGCTCCCTCTGGCCCCTACCTCTTGCTACCACGGCCACCTTCGCTGGCCTCTGGGCACACTGGCCTCATGCTTTCCTCTCTCCTGCTGCCCCGAGAGGCAACACCCCAACTCCACTCCCCATCTCCACCCTGTGCACGGACCATCCCAACCTCCACGACGACTCTGCTATGGCTAGCGTTCGGCACGAACAAAAGACTGTATATCATCTATCTTATTGCAAGAGTAATACGTGTTCACTGAAAAATGTGGAAGATTCAGAAAGTTTACAAGAGACGCCAGGCACTGTGGCTCACGCCTGTAATTCTAGCACTCTGTGAGGCCAAGGTGGAATCATTTGAACTCAGGAGTTCAAGACCAGCCTGAGCAAGAGTGAGACCCCGTCTCTACTAAAAAAAAAAAAAAAAAATAGGTAGAAATTAGCTGGCCAACTAAAAAAAAATATATAAAAAATTAGCCGCGCACGGTGGCGCATGCCTATAGTCCCAGCTACATGGGAGGCTGAGGTAGAAGGACTGCTTGAGCCCAGGAGTTTAAGCCTAGCTGGGGCAGGGGGGTGGAGCGGTTTTGGGGTTTACTCCAGGAGGTGAGCTCCTAGGGCCCCGCTTGGTGGCCGTTGGCACAGCACAGATTAGCAGCTGGACGTGCAGGCCAGAGCCGGGAGCCTATCTGTGAGCTAGGCTGACGCCACGGCACTCACTCTAGCCCAGGCAACAGAGTGAGACTCTGTCTCAAAAAAAAAAAAAAAAAAAGACAAAGAAACTATACAAGAGAAAAAGAGTGTCACCTGACACCCCCTCTGCAAGGACACCCCTAGTAACCTGATGCCGAGGGACACATGTGCCATAACACTGCCCCAACATGAGGGTGACTCTGACCGACTGTCGCGGCCTGAACCACTGAGGTGAGAGTCTGGGGTCTGACTGGTGTGGGCAGCTGAGTGACGGCCCTCTAGAGCCGTCCACGCCTGAACTCCTAGAACCTGTGGACGTGCCGCCTTACGTGGCCAAAGGGGCTTTGCGGATGTGACTAAGGATCGTGAGACAGGAGGTGACTGGATGGTGCAGGCAGGCCCCGGGTCCTCCTGGAGGCCAGGGCGCGAGCGTCTCTGACCTCGCCGATGCACATCCCCAACGTGTCCTCCAGAGAGGCCATGCCAGCTTATGTCCCATCAGCTGTGCAGACAGCGGCCATTTCCCCAACATGGGATTTATCATTTCTGAACATTCTCAGATTGACAGGCAACATTTGTGTGTTACTATTGCTTCCAGGTGCATTTCTTTGATAACTCCAAAAACCACAGCTCTAAGGAACAAGCAGGTGCAGGTCGGGATGCCCGGAGAGCCCCGTCAATGGAGGGTCCTGTGAACTTCAGGCTGAGGGTCTGGGGGCAGCAGGTAAGCAGAGCCCGGCTGTCCGCTGTCCCTGGCAGAGCAGGTTGGAAACACCAGCTTTCTCTTGGGGGCTGAATATCCTGTAGACCTGAGGTTGAGCTGGCCCTCGGCCTGGGGGCTGCTTCTGGGTGGACCTTTCTGTCTTCCATCTCATTTTCCTCTTATTCATTCAATAAGCATTTCCTGAGATCCTACCATACGCCAGACCTGTGCCAGGCACAGTTCCTGCCCTCCTGGGCGGAGTTCCTGGTCCACGCAGGGAGCAGACTACAGCCAAGGAAAAAAATCAGTGACCCTCCAGTTGGAAACTCTCATCTGTGCCAGGAAGGACACCCCAGGACACCCTCTCTCCTGGCTCCAATGAGGACACCAGCTTGAAGGCTCCCAACTAGGAAAGGGTGTCCTTCTCATCTGGTTTTTGTCCTGAAGACGAAAAAAAATCACCACCTTATTACAAACTTAAAACCACCAATGCAAAGTTGCTTAAAAATAACAAGATCCAGCTGGAAAATCAGAGATGATCATGCAACAACAAGCAGCAGATGCCCCGGGATAGAATTCTCATGTTTTTTCACAATAAAGTCAGCAGGGCCAGTGTCCCCAGGCCACCACCCTGCCTAGAGAGTGTCAAATTCAGAGATGCTTAGGTTGGGGAATAGCATTTCAAGAGTGCCTGCATACTGCATAGCTTTTTAAGAAATCACGGACCAGGACACAAGTGGCTCACACGCCTGTAATCTCAGCACTTTGGGAGGCCAAGGTGGGATGATCACTGGAGGCCAGGAGTTTGAGATCAGCCTGAGCAACATAGCAAGACCCCGTCTCTACAAAAATGATTTTAAAAAAATTAGCCAAGCGTGGTGGTGCACACCTGTACTCCCAGCTACTTGGGAGGCTGAGGCAGGAGGATCACTTGAGCCTGGGAAGTGGAGGCTGCAATGAGCTATGATGACACCACTACACTCCAGCCCAGGTAACATGGAGCAAGATTTCATCTCAAAAGAAAAGAAAATCCTGGATCCTGGTTGTGTCCTGTTGTATTCTATCCCATGTAAGTGACCTTGGGCATCTCCAGTTGACCCCTCAAAGCAGAACTAGACCTTTTTTTCTTTGCCTCCTGGGTGCCCAGGTAGACTACGCTTGCCAGCCTCCTTCCGCAATTAGATGCGGGAACACGACTGGTTGTGGCCAGTGAGACATGGGCAGAAGTGACGTTAGCCCCTCGGCCTGGCTCTGGGGGTCTCCAAGGGAGCTTCTCCTCCCTCTCCTGGCCCAGCAGGTCCCCAGGCCTTGAGGAACGGTGGGTCCCCAGGACTGGGGGAGCTCAGGGCCCGGGTTCCCCACCAGTGCACCGATGGGCACACACCCACCTGGACTTGCCATGAACGCCTAATAAACTTCTGCTTTGTTAAGTCATTGACATTTAATAGGGTAGCGGTAGCATTATTTATCCTAATATACAGGACAGTGACAGAGTCTATTTTGTAGAGTTGCTGCAAACATTCCATGAGCCGATTCGTGAACAGCCTTTCACTTAGCCTAGGCTGAGCACTGGACAAGCGTTAGTGGTTGTTATAACACTGTCGGGCCCTCCCTGTCCCTGCTCCACCCGACACCCACGTACCCTGCTCAGGAACGCTTCTTAAAGACGACAGACTTTTCTTAGGGACAGTAAACCCCTCGAACCCAGGGTTCTTTTGGTTGCTAGTAACAGAAAACTCAATTCAAAGTGGCTTAAGCAAAAGAAGGAATCTGTCATCTCATTTATGTAGAAATTCAAGGGTGCTAGCTTCGGGAGCAGCTGCACAGGAGTCCATGTGATGTCACCACAACCTGGTCTCCTTCGGGTCTGTTGTCTGTGTGGTTGTCGGGTCTGTTGTCTGTGTGGTTGTCTGTCTCGGCGCCCCTAGTGATGGCAACACAGCTGCCACGGCTCCAGGCAGCAGCGAGACTAGAAGAAAGGGCCTGTCTTGCTGTCACAGATGACCCTCCCTGGCCTGAACTGGGTCACGTGACCACCCCAAACCCATCACGTGGCCAAGGCAGGGCTCACTGCTGCCTGCCTGGTGTCTTCTGAGCATCAGTTTCCTCATCTGGAAATGGGATAATAGCAATAGCAATACCCCGTCCCATTGTGGTGAGGATCCTGAGGTGTGGCATGCAGGAGGGACCAAATCGACACAGTAGGTGCTCCATAAATGTTCTCAAATCAACGTCTGTGGTGTGCATGGTTCTAGAGGACAATGCTGGAAACCGTGGGGTGGGGGGTGTGAGGGGTGGTGACAGGGAGACAGAATCTGCTCAAAATGAGAATGCACTTTCTAACTCACTGAGATTCCCCAGAGACAAACTGACTGCCTCTGGGGGTAGTGAGCTCCCCGTAAGCAGAAGCATTCAAGCAGAGGACAGTGTCACCTCCAGAATCCTTTCTACAATTCTGTGCCTCTGCACCATCACAGCTCTGTAGGCTGAATGCTGGGAGCTCTGGCCCAGACCAGGGAGCCCCGTCCCTCCCCAGTGCCTCAGTCCTGCATGAGACAGAAGAGTCCACATCCATGCTGAGACGTCCTTATCAGGGCTGAACAGGAAGGCTTAGCCCAGCGGCCCTGCCTAGGCCTCAGGGTGGTCACTGCCAGCAGAGGTGGACTGAGCCCCTGCAGGTTTAGACAAAGGCTGTTTGGAAATCCTTTGTGCAAACACCCCAGGGGAACTCTGAACATCTTCCTCCAAACCCCTCTCTCTGCCTCTGCCTCTCAAATTCCTCTTGGAATCTGCCCCTGGTCTCTCTTCCTCTCCGTCTCTCCCTGCTCTTTACTCTCCA